GGAGTACATTCAATAACAATAACAAAATGACATTTCTACCGCAGCTTTCACGTCGGGAGGACGTCCCAAGTCTGGACAATCCGTGTTTTGGACTCGAGCTGAGCATGTTTAAGATCGCAAGGCGCTATTCCAAAAACAGAAGGGAGTTTCTCTCTCCCAAAGTCCTGGCCAACAATCCCCCAAATAATATTAGTCACTCACTTCATGACTGTTTGTGGGACATTGATGTGTGCAAACTGGCTACCGCGAACAGTCATTTGCCTGCAAAATACATAGTCACTGCACTTTACAGTAAATCCTATGAAGCGCTTTGAGACGTTTCAACCACTTAATAAGGAACTATATTAAATGCAAGAATTATTATTATAATTGCTGACATGCTTTATTGGAGAATAAGTGATCGGTTCTTAGGTTCCCTGACTGTCCAGCACCTTGGGACGTCCTCCTGATGTGAAAGGCACTATACAAATGTAATTTGTTGTTGTAGAGCCAATTCTCAAACAACCATCAAATGTGTTCATCATAATAATGTTTGCATTTAAAAGTAGTTTGCATTTAAGAGTAGTATTTCCTTCACGCAGAATAGCGCCTTGGAGCACTTCACATTGGTGGGGTCGGGCCCGAGCGAGGGAGAAGGGGAATGGGGTGGGTTAGGGTTGAAGAGGTAGATAGATCTTCAAGTGAGATTTAATGATAAAAGAGGCGGGGTGGAGAGATACAGGCAGGGAGTTCCAGAGGTTAGTGACCAAAGGCTCGGAGCTAGGAATCTGGGATATGCAGCAGGTTAACTGATGTAACTGAGTGTAGGACCTTAGCGGTGAAGGACCATATAGAGTTCGAGTCTTGTTGCAGAGAGTGCTCATAGTGATAACCTTTGCATTGGATCCAGTTTCTATAATTATTAATTGGGGTGGCAGAGCTCTTCACATGGAATTGCTCTCAGGGGTAGTGAGTGTATCTCATCTCACAAGTGAGAGGACAGTTGGTTTGATTCCCGGGCAGGGCAAAACCTGAGGCAAGTTTCCTTACTCCACACACCTCTGTTTACCTGCCAGTAAATAGGAACCCGGTTGTTAGTCGATTGGCGGATCGCTTTCCGGGGGTAAAAATATCTCAGAAAAAAACATTTAGTCACTCAATCCAGGACGGTTTGTGGGACGCTGCAATTGGCTGTCGCGTTTCACCCACAAAATATACAGTCAATTCACTTCACAATATATTCTGTGAAGCGCTTTGGGACGTCTCAACGACCTGATAAGGCTTTGTATCGAGTGCAAGGATTATTATTATTATCTGGAGGCTCTTTAATGAAATAATAAAATAATCTTCCATGTGATACAGGCGCCTTATCACATTGTCAAAACATCTGAAAAGCATTTTACTGTAAAGGACAGTGACTGTATTTTGTAGGCGAATGACAATTTGCACAGAGCAATATCGTACAGACAGCTGTGAAGGGAATGATCAATTTTATTCGGGGGATTGTTGGCCAGGACATTGGGAGGGAGGGAGGGAGGGAGGGAGGGAGGGAGAAACTCCTGTTTTTTTTATTAGCGCTGTGATATCTTTAACAACAACAATAAATTACCCTTCACGTCAGAAAGACGTTGCAGGTCGCTGGACAGTCAGGGTTTTGGAGTAACATCCACCTTCTCATCCAACCACCGCTTCTCCCCCACCCCCAGCGCTGCATTGAATTGCCAACCTGGACCATGAGTTGCATCCACGAATGTGGGGGTTCGAACCCACAACCGACTCGGGGGGCCAGAGCGCTGGTGACTGAGCTGGGCCGACACCGGATTCATGTGTGATATTTGTACCTCGTAAGAAAACAAGAAGCCGGTTGATCTGACGAGCAAAACAAAACCTGCAGAGCAGTGTTTCCTGAGCAAAGAAAAAGCCCTTTCATTCCAGATCGTGTAGAGCATTCCTGAAAAGGGGGGGTGGGGGTGTGTGGGGGGGGATAGGCAGAGACTGACTGAAGCAAACTCACTACATTGCACAGCGCAGCACAAAAGCCTGTCAGCAAGTTCTATCGATTTAAAGACTCACTGAGTGCGAGGCTACATTGTAATGGGAATAAGAATATGATGTGGGTAGAATTGTTTACCCCCCTCCACTCCCCCCCCCACCACTAACAGCCTCCCTCCCCCCATTACCAGTATAATAATAATAAACCTTGCACTTGATATGGCAAATATATCAATATTTTTAATATTTAAGAATAAAAATATATTAACAGTACGCCCCCACCCTGGTTAACAGTATACCCACACCCCTCAAAGGCGCTATACAGATATAATTTGCTGTAACCGGGACAAAAAAGATTGACCAAAAAAAACCTAACCTTTCAAAAGAAATACAGGAAAGAGAGGAAACCAACTCTTGAGTGGTTCATTAGATTTATTATGTTCATGGTGCAGAGGGAGGCGAGAGAGAGAGACTGAGAGAGAGAGACAGAGAGACTGACACAGAGACTGAGAGAGAGACAGAGAGACAGATAGAGAGAGAGAGAAACTGTGAGAAAAAGACTGAGACCCAGAGAGAAACTGAGAGAGACTGACAGAGAGAGAGAGAGAGGGAGAGAGACTTACTGATTGAAAGAGAAACGTAAAGCAAAAAAAGTAAAGCAAAGTTTTTTGGGACAGGGGGAAAAAAAGTGCAGTAGTTTTTAACTCCCCCTCCTCCTACTTCTCACGTCTTCTCCCCCACCCCCCCATTGCCCCCTCCCCTCACTGCCACACGCCCCCCCCACCCCCACCCCCCCATCCCCTTCCCACCACCACCTTCTCCTCGATCCTTGAGAAAAAGATTAATTAAATTGACGCCAGTGTTTGCTCTTTGGACCGCGATCTCATTTACAGCGCGCGGGGCGATAAATTAAGACAGAATAAATAGTTCAATGTGTTGGGAGGGAGGGAAGGAGGGAGGGAGGGTGTTTCACGTCAGAGGTGCTGGAGGCTGGTGGGTGGGTGGGTGGGTGCGGAGCAAAAACTTTCTTGATAATGATAGTCACGTCTGAGGTTGTCTGGTAACCAGTAGAAACCAGACATGATGTAACACCGGGATGAACTTGAACTTGGGGGGACTTAGAAAGGGAACAATAGACTACAGCAATCAATAAACCAGGTTCCTGTGAAGGATTATGCCTCTGCTCTGCGGTAACCTTTTCTGCAAGGCAGTGAATAGCAAGAGAAGGCGGGGGCTGGGGGTGGGGGAGCCATTCCCCCCCCTCTCTCTCCTCCTCTCTCTCTCTCTCTCTCTCCCTCTCTCAAACTCGCTCACCCGCTCGCTCTTTTTTGATTTAAGAGGGAGGGCGAGGGAGCACTGCGTGCAGTCTGAAACAGCCCAAGGCTGAGCGAGAAGGAATGTGCTGTGTTAAACTGTGCCCCCCCCTGCTGACGGCAAACAAGTATTGCCAACGGCAAATCAACGCGACTTCCCAGAGGTGGAGCCTCGCTTCACAATTTACGCTTCCAACAAAAGCAATCATCATCGTTGCCATTTGATAACAGAGCCTTTCAAGTCAGGAGGACGTCTCTCAAAGAACTTCACAGGCAGACACTGTAAAGTGGATTGGCTGTTGTGTTTTTTTAAAATAAAAATTGGCTGTGGGCAAGCTGGCTGCTGCATTCACCTACAAAATACACAGTCACTTCACTTGACACTAAACTCGTGTGCAGTGCTTTCACGTGTCCCTCCTGATGTGAAAGGTGTTGTATTGCGTATGGATCATTTTCTCATTAGCTCAGTGGTTAGAGCACTCAAGTGAGAGGAACCGGGTTCGATTCCCGGGCAGGTTGAAACCTCATGCAAGGTTCCTTACTCCACACGCCTCTGTTTACCCAGCAGCAAGTAGGAACCCGGTTGTTACTCGATTGGCGGATCGCTTTTCCGGGGGTAATAATCCCTTAAAAAAATTAGCAATTTAATCACTCAATCCGCGGCTGTTTGTGGGACGCTGCTGTGCGCAATTGGCTGCCGCGTTTCGCCCACAAAATATAATAATAATAATAATAAATAATAGTTAATTAAATTTACAGCATATTCTGTGAAGCGCTTTAAGATGTGTCGAAGACGTGATAAGGCGCCGCATCAAGGATTATTATTATTATTCAGTAAACTGGATCCAAAGCAAAGTGATGTGAGACTCGCCAGCTTTCTGTACGTTATCATCTGGCCAGGAAGCCAGTCAATCCCTCCCCAGCAGCAATATTGCCGGGTCCTCAGGGGCCCTGCATTGTAAAGGAATCCACTCTCTAGTGAGGTGCTCACTAACAAGGCCATCCTGCACAAGCTATTCTTCCTGTGAGTATTTTCGAGCTTCCTATTAACTGCTCGAGCCAATACAACAACAACAACTTGCATTTATACAGCTCCTCCGAACGCTTAACAGCGTCTGAGCCTGACGGCAAGCTGGTGGTGGTGAGGGCGGTGGGTGGGGAGGGGTGCAGGTGGGGAGGAGGTAACCATAAGCACGAGGTCACAGGTCTGATCTAAGTCTCTCTAAATCTATATCTAATTCAGTCTTCCTCAAACAAAGCAATTGCAATTGTAAAGGTGCGGCTGAGAGAAGGTGTGCGCTTTTAACCCTTTCCCTCCTCCTCGATCCAATCACGTGGAGGGAACTTTGGTTACAGTTCTGGAGAGCCGTCTGAAGCCAAAGAACAATTTCCCTTCCTGGAAAGCCTTCAGATTATAGCAGATAAACTACACAACGGCAAAGTGTGTTTCCGTGTGCTCGGCAGAAGTTTAAGTGTAATAGAAATGTTATCGTCTTGTCTTTCTACAGAGTAAACACTACGTTAATGGGTCACGTTCGATCTCCAACTGCTAAAGAACATTGATCACAACCAAAATAGCTTGGGAAGTGCTGAGTTTTGCTTGTATCTTATTGTTTGTGGATCTAACTCCTGTCTCTTTTTCTCTCCTCTCCTCCCCCACCCTACTTCCCCCTCCACCCTTCCGTCTCCTCCCTCCACCTTTTCCCAAACCTCTAGTCTTGGTACCTGGGATAAAGTCCATAGTTTCCCGCCATCCAGCAAACAGATCACCCAAGTCCTTCCCAACTCTGTAACGTGGGAGCAAGACTTCGTCACTTCAAGCTGTGTGTGTGGGGAAAGTGGGGGGGTTGGGGGTGGGGGGAGGGGGAGAGGGGAGATCAATAGAATTCCAACACAAGAAAAGCGACATGAAAACAGCGATGACTAAAGACTGAAAAACGAAGATCACGACAATGGATTTGCTCAGAATCAATCGGTGGCACTCGTTCTGTTTGGCACCGTGCGACTGATTAAGGATCTGGTACTGAGATGATTGAAATACGTAGAAATATGTTTAGCAACTCCTAAAGTGTCTTGTTGGTACACGATACCAAGACTGGTGTCTGAGCACAGGACAGATATAGTCTCCCTCTCTCCTCAACCCCCACCCTCCCCATTTACCCATTGCCTAATGATTAAGCACTTAATGTCAAACAATCTTGGTCCGACTATAAAACTCTGAGCATCTAAATTACCAGCGAAAAGATAGCGAAACACACATATTTTTTGAAGTTCGTAGCTAAACCCTCGGAGATATAAAATACGATTAAACCATGGACATAGCTGGAGCATATCACAAAATAATAGCCTTTGATTTAAACCCCTTTCCCTCTCCACCCCGAGCTCCCCAACTCCAAAACTTAGATTAAAATGCTAACCCACTGCTAATGTTAGCACCGCACTCAGTGTTATATCACGCTGATGGGTTAACCCCTTCCCTCCCCACCTCCCCTTCACCATCACCCCGCCGCCCAAACAAAAACAAAAAATGTCCAAACATCTCGCGGAAATCAAACGTTTATAAAAAAAATGCTGCACTCACGCTGTTCGTTTTGTTCAGTCTCTTAAAACGACGAGAGAGAGAAATATTAGAAGAAGATAGAAAGCGTGCGAAAGAGAGAGAGAGAGATAGATAGATAGAGAGAGAGAGAGAGGAATCCATATAAGCTGGGAAGGATGGTCTGTTTTGATTGAAATAGATGAAAATCGATCATTAATTTGATTCATTAATTGAGTAAAGTGCAATTTTATTGGAATAGTTAAATATCTTTGTATGATAGAGATTGTTGAAAACAAAAATCCTATATTCCTTTTTTTTTTCCAAGTCCTCCCATCCCTGGACTCTAAACTGTTTGGGGTGAAAAGAAACAAGTCGTGAGTCTTTGCAAGAAAAAAAAGGGGGAGCTTTTTATTTTGCTTTTCAATTTTTTTTATTATTAACATTATTATTAATAATAATAATAGTAATAAAAAAAGAAACTTGCATCCCTCCGAATAAACTGAAGGAAGATTTTTAAAAACAAAAAAAAAACTCCAAAAAAAAATGCAGTTTAAGGTATCGGTCGGTCGGTCAGTACTTTTACCAGATCATGTAAAGAGAGAGAGAGCGAGAGAGAGAGAGAGAGAGCGAGAGAGAGAGAAAATGATCACACACTCTTTTGAGAGCAAAGCACACGATGGAAGGGGGAAAAAAAATAAATGTTGCATCCACACCCTGGAAATGGATTCCATCCTGAATTGGGATTATGCAATCTGTGGATTCAATTATATATTTTATTCCCTCATCAGTGCCTCCCTTTTGAAGATGAGACCACTGCGGGGAGGGGGTGGGGGAAGGTGGGGGAAGAGAGCAGCGGGGAGAGAGAGCGAGAGAGAGAGAGAGAGAGAGGAACGAGTTAATATCTACTCAATGCACTTCGCAGTCCAATGTTGCGTCGGTCGATCGGAATGAGCGTTAAGCGTAACCGAACAAGGAGATAAAAGCAAACAAACAAAATTCCCCCCACAACACCGCACCCGTGACTCACGTTCATTTATTTGACCAAAACAGCAAAGAAGCCCGCTCTCTCCGACTCCCCTCCGCTCCCACCTGCCAAACCCCCTCCCAACCCAACCCACCCAGTGAGGCTAACTTCACACATACAATAAAGTACTTAAAAGTTTCCCGTGTTATACCAACCGTATATTAACCCTCTGCTTGGCCCGCAAGCCAACCAGACATTTAAAATGCATGATCTAGCGTTAGTGACTAATTTTTATATAGACAATGTAGGAGAAATGTATAATGCATTATTGACACAAGAAATATAATCCCTATTTCGGGCACTTGCCATTTCAAAACAATACTTCGTTTAGAGGGCTCACCCGAAAAGCAAAATGGTGCCTCTTTAAAAAAAAAACCACACACACGTACACATACACACAGTACAATCAGTAAACAAAAAGTCTTGGGAAAAATAACTTGCTCCTCATGTTTTTTTCCCCCTAATTCAATACGTTTCTTGATTTGCACGAATTAAAAAAAAAGAAAGAGGGAGGAGAAAAAAAAGAGCGAATAATTCCTCATTCATGTGCCTTGCCTTAGAACCCTAGAAAGCAGTTATTATACGTGGATTCGTTATCCGTGTGACCCCTCCCCCCCCCTCCCTGCCCCCCCCCACCACTCCCCACGATGGGGCTTTATCCTGATGTAGCAATCAGTCACACCTTTTTAAAAAAAAGTTGTGAAAGTTTTGAAAACGTTTCAAATGTGTCATGAACAAATAATTTTTACTGCAACCTAGGCCTTGATTTCAATGTCACCCTAAGTCAATGCTCTTTATTTCTGAAACTCTTAGGCTCTAGTGTTCCCTATGTTGCGATGCATTTTAATATTATTTGATGTCTTCCTTTGTTTTTTTTCCCACTGATATATGAAAAAAATATGCAATACCTGATTTATCATATAGAAATGCTTAGCATGTTTGTTTTTTTTCCTTTTTATTTTTTTAATTTGACCAAAGTCATTGCTGCTGTTTAGGCGCAGTTTTTTTTTAGATGTTTGTCTTGGAACTTGTTTTAAAAACAAAAACTAAAAAAAAAAATACATATATAAACGCTGGATAGACAGGAAAAAAAGGAGGTTTGCCTCCCCTGTAGTGCGAACTGTGAAGCACTTAAAAAAACACGAAAGCCGATTTAAACAAATTTCAGAACAGGTTTTGATCGCCATTTGAGCCTTAACAAAAAAAAAGCCTTTTTTCATTCAAAAAACTTTAAAATCCCAGATCCATTTTTGTTCTCAGCTTAAAGCAAAAACCGTTAACGAGGTGTGGAAGTAAAACACAGAAACAAAACGCCCGTTTTATATGCACATTTTGAGACTTCCACGTTTTCAGATTGTTTACTGATTATGTATATTAAAACGTTGGAATCAGCTATCTCGATTTTGATAGGTATCTAATAAGTTGTGATAAGTGTTTCCACAATACAGTATTGTGAGATTGTAACTGTTTAGATGTAATTTCTTGTTGCCTACATCCTTAAACCTTCCTTTAGCTTGTAGTTTGGGCATTACATTGACATATGTGCACTATAGAGAGCAACTTGCAGTGCTTCACAGTGAAGGGAAAGAGCACGGATAAACCTTTTGTTTTGTAAGAACCTTGTGGGAAGCCAAGGGTTAAAAAAAAAGTCAAATTGGTTGTACATACAAAACATAATAGTAATAATTAAAAAAATGCACCCTGTTTCTGAAACAGTTTTAAGGAAGAAAGAGAGAGAGAGAGAGAGAGAGAGAGGAAAAAAAAGCAATACTTTTATGGGCAGTTGGATTATTTTAATATTTTTTTCTGTTGGTGAGTGCGATGATGAGTTGGATGGAAAGTGAGGGGAAATAAAGAGAGAGAGAGAGAGAGAGAGAGAGAAAAGAGAGAGAGAAAAAGTTTTGCTGCCCATTCAGAGCTGGTTTGTAATTGTGTATAGCTTTATTAATTACACTGATTTAATCTGCCCTATTTTGTAATGCAGGACTTTTATAACAAGGTGAGGAAAGAAATCTTGTGGAACTTTAGCTTTAGTGGATAATTGTTATATTACAGCATTCATAGAATTGCTTTTTTTTTCCTCTGGGAATTGGATTTGAGTTTAAAACTCTCCTGTTTCCTATCTTTTTTTTTGTATGTATTTAAGAACTTTTATTTTTTTTCTTTCAATGATATAGCGTAAACCTGTACTTATGAAGTATAGGTAAACTGAAGACCATTATAAATGGACATTTATGCTGTTCTCTTTTTTTTAAAAAAAAGTGTTTGTTGTTTCACGTTTTTCGAAGATGATATGGGTAAGGGGAGGGAGGGGGAGAGAGAGAGAGATCAAATTGTAAAGTTTTTAAAAGAAAAAAAGGTTCCTTTTTTTCTTAGAAAAAATGTTTTGAGTTATGACAGTGGGTCAGGATGACAGGAACGAACTGAAAGGATGGGGGTTGGGGTTGGGGTTGGGGAGGGAACAAGGGGTTATAAGTATTGTTAAGATAATACTTTTACATGCAACAATAAGTGATGTGAGAATTCAGTTTCAGTTAGGCAAGTAGTGACAGCATTCCACTGACTGCTAATCCGAGGGGAAACAGGTCCCTCCTTTATTAATCTTTTTTTTTGGCCCTGTGAGATGGCCGAGGCCAGATCCGATGTTGTGTTACCATTTTATGGAATGGGAAATGCCAAACTTTAGAAGGTGGACGGACATTGCAATAAGTAAGGAACCGGGAATGTTTGTCGGCAAGGGGTGGGTGTTGTTTTTCTTTTTGCCCTCTTTGTTTGTCTTCGTTGTTGTTGTTGTTGTTGTTGTTGTATTTGTTGTCGTTGGAAATGGTGCAAGTTTATAAAAAAAACACACATTTGCCACCGTGGTCCCAAAAGGGTTAACGCCCCCTCCTACTCTCCTCTCCTCTCCCCTCTGATAAGCCTGCGATCCTGACTGACTGAGCTCAGAGTCAGTGCTTGAATTGGAGCTGGTCGGACGCACTATCAGACGCAAGGTTTTCCTCCATCAGAAAGGGAACAGGAGAAGGAGGAAGTGGGGAGGACAAAAAATATAAATATAGGACGGAATTTCCTCTCGGAAACAGGCAGAATTCAGTCAGTTCCCTCCCCCCCCACTCCCTTTACCGTTCACCCCCTTCCCCTCCCATATCCCTGCAGGAATATGCAATTTCCATGACAGATTTCACTCACTTTTTTTTCTTAATTCGATGCCGCTCGCAGCTTCACAGCTCACGACGGTGTTGTTGGAAATATATTCTGGGCAAAAAAAAAGAAAAAATAATACACTTAGACACAGCTTGAGACAGTTTTATTAATCCCCCCATTTTGCGGTGAATACTTTTTTGTTTTGTTTGGAATGTCAAACCAGGTTCTTCCACACTTTGAATGGTATCTCTGGAAACAATATCAGATAAAAACAGAAGTGGCCGGGAACAGCAGCAGGTCAGGCAGCATCTATGGAGACAGCAGAATGAGTTAACGTTTCAGGGCGATAACCTTCAAAAGGTGAGCGACCTGAATGTTAACTCACTTTCCCCTCGCCATAGATGCTGCCTGACCTGCTGGTTGTTCCCAGCGACTTCTGTTTCTATTTCAGATTTCCAGCATCTGCAGTATTTTTCCTCTCTGGAAATAAATGTTTGATAGAAGGGAGCTTCCTCTGGAACTAACATGTCTTTGGCCACATGGTGACTTTTTTTTTGAGACTGGTTGGATTATAATGTAAAAGGATCGCTTCAATGGAACCTAGCAACATTCGGACGCGCTTAAAACTGAACCAACAAAATAAATGCGCCCTTGTCTTGATCTTGGAAGAACATTTGCATGCACTGGCAGTCAAAATTGTAAAAGAAATTTTAAAAAAAAAGCTTTGCAACAAAATATAGACCAAGGCTGCACAGAAGTTCAGCTCGTAAACTTTTAGCAAGTATTGTTTTTTTCAACAACAAAAAAAATCTTTGAGATCAGCAATAGCAGGGAGGGAGGGGAATGGGGGGGTGGAAATTTCACATTTCGCCCACAAAATACACAGTCAATCCACATTGGCAATATATTCTGTGAAGCGCTTTGAGACGTCTCAACGACGTGATAAGGCGCTGTAATAATTGCAAGGATTATTATTGTTAAATTGCCTTGGTGTGACCATTGAAGCTGTTTCATAGCACTTAACTGTAATGAATACTGTCATCGAATTTGTAATTAAGAAAATCGCTGTTAAATGCAAAATCCATGGTGCTATTACAGGCTGGCTCCGAATATGACTACTCTAGGCTCACTTCACTTGCTTTCTGACATTGTAAATGCATAGCAGTGTAACTTTTGCATGGACCTATGCACAAACC